AGATCAGGGGTGGGTGACCAGAAAAAGGAGCCGGAGTCAGCATGGGAAATTGCGGGCAGATGGGGAAGCTACAGAGGGCTCCCTGTGGACATCCTGGTGTTTCTCTCCTGGGGTGGCGGTAGCAATCTCTCAGAGCCCCATCTCCATCCCTCTGAGGTGGGGTGGTTGTCCCTGGGAAGCCCAGAGTGGGCTTGGGCCAGTGTTGAGGCTGTGGGGGCCTGTGTGGCTGCAGGCACCTCCCTATTCAGCTCAGTTGGGGAAGGCCTGGCGCTTCCCACGCCCCTCCTGGAATGCAGGGCTGCTCCCGGGAGTTGAGCAAAAGCATGGCTTTCCCTCTGGAGCCTGAGGTCGGTCAGCCTCCCAGGCCTGGGGCCAGCACTCTTGACTGAGAGCCAAGACAAGCAAGGGGCAGGGGCCTGGGCCAGCCCTGAGGCCTGGCATGACCCCACCAGCAGATCACTGCTTCGGTTCATTCTTTGTGGGAGGGAGGTGTGCTAATGCCAGGAATTTCACACTGGGTGTGGGTGAGGGGGGGTAAACATTAGGGCTCTACTGTTTGCTGGCTCCTGTGCTGGGATGCGCATAGCATCACCTGCAGATGCTGTTGCCAGTGTCATGGGGCAGGCTCACTGGGGTGGCACAGGAAGCCCAGAGGTTGTAGGAGGATGGAGGCAGCCCTTGGCCCAGATGGGACAGGGGAGGGTGGGGTGGGGGCAAGCTGCTGTAGCAGGGTCTAGAATACTCCTAAAAACATTTGGCACCTGCTAAATGCCAGCCAATTCCTGACACAATTTGACTGACACCCCTCTTACTGGCCCCCATCACACTGGAACCCCAGCTCCGTGCTGAGATGCCAGATACAGCCTCCTTAGGGCTGAGGGAGGGTGTGGTCTTACAGGCCCCACGTAGGGGCCAGGATGGGGAGGATCAGAAGGGGGCATCCTTGTTGCTCCAGGGGGCACATTCTGGTAAAGTTTGGTATGTGAGGCACCCTCAGGAGGCCAGTTGGGGAGGGGCAGGTCCCCCGCTGGCTGGGGTGGAGCATGAATATGAATTCAGTCAGACCTGCCCAGCCCGCCTAAGCAGGCCCTTGTACTCCTGAAAGGATGGCCAAGGGTCAGGCTCTCTGTCTGGGGAGAAGGGTTTAGATCTGGACAGGCCTGAGCTGAGAGGGGAGGAGGCTGAGAAAAGGGGACCAGGCTGCCTGAGGTACTTCGTTTTCATGGAGTTCCCCCTCAACACACCAAGGTCCTGGGTTTCTGGAAGGTTCTCCCTGGGTGTATTTAACAGTCAAGATGGGGTTCTCTTCCCATAGCTGGATGCCCGGCATATTCGTTTTTTCCACATCCCTGTGTGAGAGCTTCCAAGAGCCAGGAGGTCTGAGTCTGAAGGGAAAAGCAAAGGTTCCCTGTCCCTGGAATTGAGCAGACAGGCATTGTGTGAGTCAGGACACAGCTGATGTCCTTCTAGAAAAAGCCATTCTAGGTGCTGAATCTGGCTGCATTTTCCTTCTCTTTTTCTTCTTGTTCTCCTTCGTCCTCTCCCTCCCCCTCCTCCTGACAATGCACCCACAGACATGCTGTGACAGGGTGGGAAGAGCCAGGCCTGGTTCAGCTCCTGGCCCCACAGCTCATAAGCAGTGTGATTTGGGGCAGCCCCTTCCCTTCCCTGTAAAATGGGATGTAATACAATGGTAGCTGGTGGGAGTCAATGAAACCACAGGTGCAAATGTTCTAGGCCCAGTTGCCCTTGACACCCAGGGGGTCTAGATCTGAGGACAAAATTACAAACAGAAAGAGAAGAAACCTTTTGTCTTTGAGGCCAAAGTAGGAGAAAGTTACTGATTGCTTCTGAGTCTTGGCTTCTCACCTGTAAAATAAAAGTAATGATGGGGCCTACTTCAGAGAACTGTGGTGAGGATTTACTGATGTCAGGGATGTCCTTTGCACACAGTAAGTGCTCATTAAATGATCTGGTATTATCATCTTTCTGGAGGATTGTTTGTCCTGCAGGAGCCCAGGGAATGAGGGAAAGTGATTTGTATGCACAATGCTGAATACGCTGGTGAGAGTCAGGGCACTGGCTGTGTGAGGTGCAGCATTGGAGGAGGAATCCAATGTGCTGGGGAGCTGGCCCAAGAGTTGGTAAGAATGCACAAGGCCAGGAGAAAGAAGGATGCCTAAATTACATCACTAAATGATTTCGAGTCTTCATGGCCTGAATTGGATCGGTCCCACAGCCTCAGAAGTGCACTGGTCTGAACACATCTGTTTAGGGGGTCTGCCTTCCCCTCCGGATTGGTTGGTTCTTAAGGGCCAGGCTATTCGTAGTTTTGTATCAGGCGTGGGCATGTGACAGGTTCAGGGATTGAACTTTAGATTCAATGAGTCAAAGGAGAGACAGCACTGGGACTTTTCCTGAATCTTCTTTAAAGGGTCACTAAACTGGCGTGATATGAGTCACTGGAGGTTGTTCTGGATGCCACAAAGGGCGAGCCTGCCTGAGAGTGCCCTCAGCTCAGAGGAAGGCAGAACTGAGACAGAGGCAGATGCCTGAAGACATCATGTGAATTCCCAGATCTAGCTATTCCTGAAGCTAGACTGATGTATTCTGGGTATGGTCAGTACATTCTGCTTCCTCTCCTGTTTTTTTTTTTTTTAAAGTTGGGTTTCAGTCTCTTCCAATGCAATGGGCCTAGATTAATATGACCTCTTTTTCTTTTGCTTTATTTCTTTTTCTCCTTTTTCTTTTTGAGATGGAGTTTGACTCTTGTTGACCAGGCTGGAGTGCAGTGGCATGATCTCGGCTTACTGCAACCTCTGCCTCCCAGGTTCAAGCGATTCTTCTGCCTCACCCTTCCTAGTAACTGGGATTACAAGCGCACACTACCACGTGTGGCTAATTTTTTGTATTTTTAGTAGAGATGGGGTTTCTCCATGTTGGTCAGGCTGATATTGAACTCCTGACCTCAGGTGATCTAACTGCCTTGGCCTCCCAAAGTGCTGGGATTACAGGCCTGAGCCACTGCCCCCGGCCCTACTTTTTTTCCTTTATTCAAAAAAAAATCTTGAATATCAGATAGCATCTGTGAAAATGTTGCCTGGTCCAGTGGAAGGACAAGGTATTGTGGGAAGGAAATCTAAAAGGGGGAAAGGACCCTGGGTTCTGGGCTGACTCAGCCTCTCGCTAAGACTTTGGTAAGGGGTGTGAAATGTGTCTCTGAAAGATTTCGCCTTGACTCTGGAGTTGGCCTACGTGGGGGCCAATCCTACTTTCACGCTGGCCTCCTTGCCTGTAAAATGAGACCACTGTTGTAAAGATTCATTGTGAGAATGTGTGAGAACAATGGTTTCTACTGCTTGATAAATGCTGGTTTCTCTTATTCCACTGCTTCCTAAAACTCAGTGTCACCAAGCTGGGCTGTTCTAACCAGCCAGCAGCAGCAGGCCCGAGCAGCTCATCCACCTTGTCCACCCCATTCCCCTACTCCCCTCTCCTGCTACCACTGCAATGGCCCACCCCAGAAATTTGGGCCCCAAAGCCTGGCCTGGAGGAAGCCCAGCCAAACTGGTCAGCCTGGCCTGGCCTCCGCTAGAAATTTACAGGCCCTTATCTCCACCATGACTAAATTTGGACGTTAAACTCACAGACAATCAGCCTGGGAATTCCTGACAAATTCCAGCAAGGGCCAGCTGTTCTCTTTGGTTTTTGCAGAGTAGGGAGATCATTTTTTCCAAGTAACAAGTTTAAATGAAAAGTCATACATGCTCATTATAGAAAATCTGGGAAATTTGGGAAATTTTCTATAATGAGCAAGTATGAGAAAAAGGCACCAATAAGGTCAACACTCAGACACAGCCCTCATGGGCATTTCCTTTTTTTTTCTGATCTTTCCAATGCATGGGTAGCTTTTTGGGCTGCTGGTTTTTTGTTGTTGTTATTGTTTTCACATCTATGAGATCAGAATGTATGTGCAATATTGTATCTTGTGTTTTTTTTAAACCATATTTTAACATAATTATTTTCCTGTGTTATAAACTAACAATTGTTGCTTGGTGCTGGGTACCAGACGCTGTGCCTAACACATCATTGGTATGATCTCAGTAACACTTACACTCATCCTAAAATCAGGAACTATTATTGTTCTTGCTTTGAGGATGAGGAAACTGAAGCAGAAGGAGGTTAAGTGTCTTCCCCAATGTCTTGGTGAGGAACTGGCAGTCTGGCTTCATGCCCATGCCGGTAGCCCCATATGGATCGGTATCATGGTTTACTCAACCTTTCCCTACACAGAGGTCTGTTGCTTTGGCCCACCCTGCATGCATTCTTTAGGACTCATTTCCTCTTTGGATTATGATTCCCCACTTTCAGCCCAGAGAGTTCACACAGGACAGCTATTGGGTGCAGATGAGTGCACATCCTGGGTCTGACCAATCAGAGCCCTGTATCTCCATCCTTTGACTAGTTCAGGAGCAGACATGTGATCCGAGCTGGTCCACGCAGGATGCTGGCGGCCCTGCAGGAGGCATCTTGAGAACCTGCCTGGGAACGGGGCCAGATCACAGGGCTGAGCGAGGGGAGAGGTTAGTCCTGATGCAGCATTTCAGACACTGGTTCCAGTTGCATGTAGAGTGGGTTCTGTTACTGTTTCAGTTCCCTAGTTTTTATTCCCCCAAAACCTATCTGGGTTGGGTTTCTGTCACCTGTGACCAAGTCTTGGTGAATACACCTTGGTCATTGGACAATTAGGGTTGCTCACAGCTTTTTACCACTATAGAAAATGCTGCAATGAATATCTTTACACATAGATTTCATCCTTGATTAGAATGATTTCCTTGTGATTTTCACAGAAGCGAGTTATTTGGCAAAGGTATCAAACATTGTCAGGGCTTTACAGACATTTTGCAATTTATTTCCCCAAGGCTGGCGATAATTTGGATCCTCACCTTCACTCCCCATCAGTGTATGTAGAGGGATTTAAAAAATTGAGTTCTGAAGCCTTTTTAACAAGCCAAAGTTGTATTTTAAACAGGAAAATTATGTCAATATAAAACAGATAAAAACAGACAAAAATCAAAACACACAACACAGAAAAGCACAACACACAAGACCAGTGCAAACCCTTCCCAACCCACTCCCCCAGGTTTTAAAACCTTGATTACAGATCCCCAAGGATGAGACTGCATTGGAGAGGTCACAGTATTGAATCAGAAAAAGAAGACGTATTTGAAAAGGTCTGTACACAGGTAGTGGTGTTTGGGGTGGGGGATGTACACTTTATTACTCCAACATCAAAAACATGATGCAGAAAGGATTTCAGTGATTATCATAGATTTCTAGAACCCTATCATGTATGCTAGCCTCCTCCCCATCCACTTTTAAAAGTTGCTTTAAAAAGGATAAAAAGTGCACAGACACTTTCGTAAGGCACAGACAGATTGTCGCACAAGTCATTTCATTAGGGACTTGGATAAGACAGCGAGACAGTTAAATACCAAGAAATGCCAGGGGGCTGCGTGCTCCTGAGCCGATGCCCCTCCCAGGACAGGGACAGGAGCAAGGCCGAGCAGTGGGAGGTTATTACCTCTCTGCCTCAACTGGACGGACTCACGGGGGCTCTCCTGGGCCTTGGTGACTGATTTCCAGGGCCTGAAAGCAGCAGGTAGCCAACTTCCCCGCTGTGTCTCCCTGGCAGGACCTGACGGGGATCACCAACCCGTGGGGCCTCCGGGGTTCTGCCTAAGGCTGTTTTGGCAATGTGCCTAGCATTTCTAATGCAGAGGAGGTTCTGTGAAGCACGCAGGGGGTTCTGGTCAAGAAGGCAGCCTTTGGGCACCAACCTCAATGGAAGCAAGGCAACAGATGGCCAAGAGAGCCCAGTGGAGCCTGCCCCGAATATCTCATTCCTTAGTGTCACCCCTGCTGGGGCACAGTCCTCTCTGCTCTATCTTCACAGCACCTCACCACTATTAGGTACTCCGCAAATGTTTGTTGAGGGTCTTTGTGTGAGTACGTGGTGCTGTTTTACCAAACTCCTAAACACTCATAATCTGATTTCTGGTTTACTCAGAAAACCTTAACTGAGTACCTACTACGTGTTAGCACAGGACCAGCACCAGGGGATCAGAGAAAAGTTCACTCTGTGTCCAGAACACAGTCCATGCTGAGTAGTGGGCATCACGGGACTGGAAACCATGCTGCTGTGAGGGGAGCAGCTCAATCCCAGGGGACTCCCCATTCTGAGAACCTGCTAGGACAAGGAGCTGGATTTGCCTTGGAAACAGCCCAGTTTTTCAGGAGGCTCCGAATGAACAGGCACAAGACCACAACTGTGGGGCATTTTTTGGTCTCCCCTGTCCTAGCCCTGGAGCCCTGGCTGCTGTGGCCCAGAAGAGCACACGATGGGCAGTGAGCCTGGGACATCTGAGGGCTGGGTCACATGAGGGGGGGCTCAGGGGCCCTGATTGAGGGGGTGGTGATCGTGGGGCCCAAGAAGCGACCCTGAGGGACAAGGCCCTGGGTCCTTCCCCAAAGTTGCCGCCTGTGGACACCCCTGCATAACAACAGAGGACCCTTGGGTTGGAGCCCAGATCTCAGAGCTTGGCTCTGCTGGGAGAAGGTGGGCAATGAGCAGATGAGCCTGGAAGGGAGGCTCTTCTCCTCCCAGGGTGTGGGCAGCAGAGGGTCCCTGGCTGGGGATGGAACCCTCTACACAGGCACCAATGCCCGGACTCTCTCCAGATGAGTTTCAAGAGAGAAAACTCACTGTCTCGAGTTTCCTGGAACTCAGGGCCAGGCAGCGGGAGTGTGGGATGTGGCACCAGACACTCCTGGATTTGAATCCCAGCCCTTCACCTCCCATTGTGTGATCATGGGGTCACTTCACTCACAGGACCTCAGTTTCCTTACCTGCCAAGTGGGATAATCCTAGTTTCCATAGATAATAAGTAGCAGAGTTTTTTTTTTTCACACTTGAACATCTCTGATTGGAGGAACTGTATAGTTGTAGCATCTTATGGTTAAGATTGGCAGCGTTTTTTTCTTATGGTTCATAAAACAGCGTGTTTTATGAGGACAGTGTCTTAGATGTGACTTGTTATGGCAATAAGACCTGCCTCACAAGATTAACACATGAAGGCGCCTGTCTAGCCCAGTGCCAAGGCACACTGTAGGTGCAAAATAAAAAATAGTGGCTCTTTTTCCTCTTTCTCTTGTCCCCTTCTCAAGACAGAACATAATGGGAATGTGTGCATCTCCTCTGTAGCACTGAATAATGCTTAGAGCATCAGGAAACCAGGAAATGTCTGGTTTTTAGAAGATAAACACCCACCTTGCCTCCTCTTGGAAACAGGGAGGCTATTTATAGCAGCTGCAGAGCAGGTTCAACGGGCCATTGACTCCCTTCTTCCCAGGTCACAGGTCACCAGGAGATGCCTGGTCCACCCCTGGGTCCAGGCCTCAGTCACTGGTTTCCCAGTGGAGGCTGGATATGACCTGGCTGGAACCCAAGCAGTCAGCTAGGAAGGGCAGGAGAGTGGAGCTGCTTTCTCCCAGGCCACTGAGATCCACAGCTTGTGGCTGGGTCTCAGTGTAGTCAGAGGACGGTTGCCTGGAGCATCACAGGCCTGGGCTGAGGAGTCCTCCCATGCAGGGCCTGTGCATGGCCCCACCCACACCCAGCACCTGCAGGAAACCAAATTCAGTCGGGCACCCAAGGCTGCCTGGATTGTCAAACTCTTATCTTATCTTGGCAAAGACTGTGGTTCCAAAGCTGCTCAAAAGATTCTGCTGCAAAATTAAAATGGGGGCATTTCCCTCAAGTTTTCTAGGGAAAAGTAAATAATCAAGGGTTCTTGATGGGGCAAGAGAGTGGGGGCCTTAAGTTGGAATCAGGTCGGACAACCGTGACTATTCCCAGCTAGAAGAGGAACAGGAGGCCCCAAACTGCCCGCATCGCATTGGCACCAGCTGGTCTAGGGGACTTGATCTAATGAGGGCCTGGCCAAGCTTTGCTCTGGACACCCAGACATCCAGCAAGTGTTTGTTATATGAATACATAAACTCCCCTGTCTCCTCTCCCTCCTTCCCTCCTTCAGCAGGATATGAACAGATTAGGAATTGTAATACAAATGCTACTTGCTTTTTGCAAGGCGTCTCAGGCTTTTTAGAACATTGTGCTGGTCCTCCCAAGAACTCTTGGAGTTGTCAGGTTCTAGACTTCTAATTGGGAAATGAAAAATAGACAGGCCAAGGGACTTCCCTAATGGTACAGCACAGAAGAGGGCAGAAGTGGAGCCCAGAATTGGGAGCAGGAAGGGAGGGACAGGCCTGGGACAGCCCATCAGCCCAGGTGTGATCTAGGAGTCTGCAGAGATGGGAAGGGGTGAGGGGGTGGAGCAGGGCCAGGGTCCTAGAAATACCAGCAGGTAGGTCTGGGAAGGGGAAGAATCCCAACAGCATTTTTTAGTTATTGTCTCAATCATTAGTTAACATACTTATCAGTGAACACTTCAGTAAACAGCGGAGGAAGATAAACTGAGAATCAGAACAAGAACCAGTTATAAAGCCCTGGTTCCTCCCAGCAGGTCCCCTGGGAATGCCACCGCAGGAAGGTGGAGAGCTGTCTGCATTCCAGCTCCAGGTGGGTCACCTACCTCTAGGATTCTTTCTCTCCCACAGTAGAACAGAACCTGCTGCTGGTCTTCTCCTTGGAGATGGGGAGGGGCATTACAGAGATGAAAAGCCTCCAGAGACAGAGACAAAGTGTGATGGTGTATTGTTAGACCATCTAGGGGTGAAGGGGTGAAAAGATGACCCAGCCCAGAGGGCTCGGCCTCAGCACCCATCACACCCAGCTCTAAGACCCAGTAAGAAATGAAGAAGTGAATGTTCTGCTCTCTGTCCACCTTCCCCTCAAGGAGTTGCCACTTTGGAGCTGTAAACAATGAGTTATTTCTGCCTCCCTTTAGAGAATCTGAGCATCTCTTTTCCATACCACCCCAGGAAGTTCTGTTAGAGTCAGGCTTCATACATTCAAAACCAGCCTATGTCCCATCCTCAGAAAGTGAATAACTTCTAGTCAGGCTAACCTCAGGGCTCCAGATTGCACATTTCATGGTAGTCAGTAAACTCCTGGAGCCACGATCCCTGGTAAAATCGCTATGCATTCATTCTTTCTCTCTCTCACACACACATTCTCTCTGTTCTCCCTCCCTCCCTCCCCTCCCCCTCTCTCACACTCAACCCAACCCCAGCAAGAAGCATTGCACAGACAGAGGACGCTGTTTCCCAGTTGAAAGGTCACCAAGGGACAGGGTGATCTGCCAGGCAGTTCCTGAGCTTGCTCTTGGGACGGCCTTTTGGGGGCAAAGCACTTTGGAGCCAGAAGCAACCCCTGCCTGGGCTCAGGCCCCAGGGACCTTGTTCCATGACTGTCACACCTTGCCCACCACTGGAGAAACGGCCGCTGCCCTTGGACTCCCTGGCAGCCATGTGGTTGCCCAGCCCAGGGGGGCTTCAGAAAGGTGACCTTGCTCTGGCCAAGGCCTGTGGGCGGGTTAGGCTATGGCCGGTAGATCTTAATGACGTCCTTGATGGGCCGCCGGCAGATGGGGCAGCAGGCCCGGGCCTGCCGCTTGAGCCTCAGGCCGCAGCTGTGGCACAGGCACATGTGTCCGCATGTGTAGATGACTGTGTCCACCTCGCCATCGAAGCACACTGTGCACTCGCCATTCTTGATACCTGCCGGCTCCGGTGGAGAGAATGCAGGAGACACCGGGGGACTCAGTGGGGAGCTGGGGGCCGTCACTGCGGAAAGGGAGAATAAGACATATGTTAATGATGTCTCTCTGTGGTGGGCTCTGTTGGGGCAACCCAAAGAACGCAGGGCTTCTTGGTGGGACTGGTGGGAAAACACTTTCGGGAGATACTAATTTTAGTTTACCTTCTGGGTTTTGCATCTTTCTTTACTCTTCTGCTCCCAAGCACCAAGATAAAACACCACCGAGTCACCCTTTAGAATGCCCTATCTAGACACTTCTCTTCTCTCTAGCTGAGCATACAGCTGAGGGAAGGAGAGGATATGGGGGAAAAGTGGCCACCCTGCTCAGCCCCTAGAAGGCCACTGGCACGGCTGCAGGAGCCAGGCCAGCCGCCAGCCCCTGCCCCTGCCAGGGTTCACATTTCCTTACCCAGGGATGACTCAGATGCTGAGGAGGACTGGTTGACACTGAAGGTCATATCTGAATCACTATCGTCCTGGGAGCCGCTGAGGGACCCTGATGGAGTCGTGGTTGCAGGACTGGACTGCAGGGTACCTGAGACCCAAAGAGATTCCATCAGGGGCAGTGGGAGGTCGGACCTGCCCTGCTAGGCCGTGGTTCTTCACTGTTTGCACCTTAGCTTCCCCGTCTGTCTAATGAGAGAATCAGAGCTATCTGCCAGGGTTCTGCTGAGGACTGAAGAGCTCATCTAAGTGTGGTGCCTCCGTTCTTTGTCTACCCCAGCCTGTATTCTAATTTATTTCAGAAACAGCCCTGGGATGGTCTTTTGGGATACTCATATGCCCGCCCTCATTGGATAAGGGGGAGGTCAATAGGAACTTCCAGTCCCTGGTCTCAATGGTGGTAGTTTAGGAAAGGGCATATAACCCATGCAAGGCCCCTGAGACCCAATTCTGCAACTTTTACTGGAACTACTAGGAAAGAAGGAACTCATTCTATTCATTGGGAGGGAAGCCTGGAGCTAGAAGAGCCAACCTGTGGCAAAGGCCTGCCTGAGAGGCAAGCAGAGCTCTGAGATGGAAAGAGAGGTGGGATCCTGATGACATCCTTCCAGTACTGAGATCCAGCTATTCCTGAACTCACCCAATATACTCCCAGACATTTCCTTTTTTGGCTTAGGGCACTTTGAGTGGGGTTCTGCCACTTGCAAGAAGACTGCTGACTACTAGTGCTCAACATGGATGAGTGTTCTTCCTCAAGCTTGCTGTTGGTTCAGGTAATAACAGCTTATTTCTTAGGATGAAAAGATGCCTCTTCCCTTGCCCTACCTGAGGATGAATGAGCAGATAATGGGCACTTCATCCCGGGCTGAAATGATGAATATGTCTGATGGTTCCTCAAAAACACAAAACAACTTTCCCCCTCCCCAAAAAACACCGACCAAAGAACTGTCACTGCCACCCAGCTCCACCTCTGCCCTTATTAAGACAATAGCAGCTGCTGTTAACTATTACCACTGATGAAACCCAGGACTGGGTCAGGCCCCGCTCAAGATATCATATGCACATGATTTCATCCTCATGATAACCTCATGAAGCAGGTAACACTCTTTCTACACAAAGGCTCGGAAGAATCTGTGATTTGCCCAACAGCCTCAAAGCTGACCGACGATGTGACCCTGAGACAGTCATTTAATCTCTCTGTGCTTCATTTTCTTATCTGTAGGTGGAGGATAATGACACTGATTTCATAGGTTCATCGGGAGGATAAAATTCAATGAGGTAACACATGAGACGTTGACTGGTTCTTATTGCCTAGACTCTACTTTTTGAGCCATGAAATTGAAGCCAGGCTCTCTGGAAAGCCTTCTCTGCACATCTCCTTCACTCCACCAAGGTGGGACAGGAGCTCCGGCTGTAGCAAATGTTACACTGTGCAGCGCTCCATTAGGGTGTCTGTGAACTCCTAACCGGGATGGTATATGTCATGTCCTCTGCTTGCCCTATCCTGATGCCCAGGGCCCAGCTCACAGCTGGTGGCTGCTCTCTGCCTATTTGGCATGAATGAAGGCAAAAATTATCTCAAAACAGGATGGTTTAAGCCTCCATTCCACTTTCTGCGGACGATACCATTCTTATTTCCTCTCTCATGTGTAGTCGATTTTATTTTTTCCCTACACTTATTGTGCATTACATGTTAAAAACACCCTAATATAACAATAATAACAACGGAGCTAAAAAATCGCACCGACCATTTACCGAGGGTATACAGCCTGCCAAACCCCGAGACCAGCCAGTTACCTATCTAGGTCGGTGGTTTAAAAAATGTGGTCTCGAGAGCCATAACATCAACATCCCCCGGCAGTTGTCGGAAATGCACGTTCTGGAGGCGCACCCTGGACCCACTGAATCGGGAACTCTGGGTGGAGCCCGGCAATTTTGGACGGGGTGGATCGTGCAGGGCGCTCAAAGTCGAGAACCGCCGGGCTGGCCTTGAGGGGTGCAGCGTCTAGTGAGCGGGGCGGGGAGGGGCGGGGGCGGGGCCTCGCGAACGCGAGGCCGGAGACTTACCGAGGAGACGCAGTTGTCCCGCGACGCCGCCGCGCACGGCGAAGAAGGCCCAGAGCGCCTGCGTGGTGTCGACACACAGCAGCCGGCCGCGCGGACGCCCGTTGACGCCCAAGAGCACGTCGCCGCCGGGCCGCAGCGTGAAACTGAGCGCGTCGCCGCCGCTCGGCACAGGCCCGGCGCGCGCCACCACCCAGTACTCCTTGCGGTCGAGCAGCGCGTCTGGATCGGCGGGAAGCTCGGTGGGCCGCAGCCCGCCCGGGTCGCACGACGTGATGCCGAAGGCCAGCGCTCCGGGCGCCGCCAGCCCCGGGCGGCCCACCTCCACGAAGAGGCTCTCGCCGGGCCGCAGCGGGCGCTCGGAGAAGACTAGCGTGCGGCCGCCGTCGGGCCGCGGCGCGCAGGCGATTTTGCGGTCGGCCGACAGGCTCACGTCGGGCCCGCGTGTCGCGTGGAAGCGCAGGTCGGCCTCCAACAGCGCCGGCGACGACGCGGGCCGCGGGCGCTCACGGGGCCCGCACGGGATGGCGGCAGCCGCGGCGTCGGCGGGTGGGGGACCAGGGGCGCGGCCCAGGGCCAGGTGGCCCAGCTTGGCCACCACCTGGTTGTTCTCCAGCTCATTGTTGTCGAAGTTGGCCGCGTCGTGGCTGCTGGGTGGCAGGCAGGCGCTGAAGCGGGCCTGGCTGAGGCGCGCGGGCGTCAGCGTGTCGGCGAAGGCGCTCTCTGCGTGGACACAGGGAGGGACGTGGCGGGGCGGGGAGGTGCGTGAGGCTGGGCGCGAGCCCCTCCCCACCCGCTGCCCCCTGCAGGCCTCGGCCACCTACCCGCCCTAGAGCAGCCACATCCCATCCTGGCCCCAAACTCTCCTTTTGCCCGTCTGTGTTATTTAGTGAGCCACAGGTGCACAGAATTGCGTTAAGCACAATCTTGGTTTTCTTGACAGGGTCTTACCTTTGGGATGGGCAGATAAGGCCCTTTTCCTCATGCCTCCTCCTCTTCTTCCATCCCTCCTTTTCTCCCTACCCTTTCCCCTCTTCCCTTTGTTCTTCTCCCTCTTTCCGAGGTTTCCATATTTTGATCATTAAAAGGGCATCTAAAAATTGTTTATTGTCCGTCTCCCCAACTAGAACATAAGCTCCAATAAAAAGAGCAAACCTGTGCTCGTGGCCTTATCATGCAACAGGCACTTCTAAGCTTTCACACGCCATCTCATTTAACTTACTCAAGTACCCTGGTGAGGCATGTGCTGGTACTACCTGCCATTGAGCTTACATGGAAACTGAGGCACAGAGGGGTTGGGAACACGACCAAGGGCACACGGCTACTAAGTGACCAAGCCACGAGATGAACCCATGACTTGAACCCAGGCTGTCTGGCTCTAGAGTCTGGCCTCTTCAACATATGCTGCCTCTGAAAGAAGGGAGGACCTGGACCTGTCCTCACTGCTGTGTTCACAGCACAAGAGTACAGTGCCTACATGGAAAGAAAAAAGGCTACAGGAGATTGACTCAGTTGATAAAACAAAATGAAGGGAAAGTTTGTTTATTTTTTGAGACGGAGTTTCGCTCTTGTCACCCAGGCTGGACTGCAATGGTGCAATCTCGGCTCACTGCAACTTCCGCCTCCTGGGTTCAAGCGATTCTCCTGCCTCAGCCTCCCAAGTAGTGGGATTACAGGCATCCACCACCACGCCCGGGTAATTTTTGTATTTTTAGTAGAGACAGAGTATTTGGAACTCCTGAAGTGATCTGCCCACCTCGGCCTCAAAGTGCTGTGGTTACAGGTGTGAGCCACCTCGCCTGGCTGAAGGGCAAGCTCTTTAAAAGTTACAGTTATGAAAATATTTTAAGTAACATTTAGTAATTTGAAAAAATGTTCTTCATATGCTATAGTTAGATAAAAAAGCAAAAATAGTCTTTATCATTTGGGTAATACAGTTCTTCGTATTTTAATAGATTACCTGTTTATTTTCTGCCTCCCTACCTGGAATATGAGTATGGAGAGCAGGGTCTGTGTCTGGTCACCACCATGTTCTCAGGGCTTGGCAAATGGCCTTCACTATTATTAGTTTATTGGATGAGTGAACGACTAAGGTCTCTAGCAGAGACTGCTATGCTGAATAACAACAGGAAAGAGTCATTAAAATATTTTGAAGGTTTTTTTTTTCAGTGATACAAACATTCTTGTTTACCATAATAATAAGTGTTTCTTAGACTTTTTAAACAGACCACCTTGAGCCAGGATTTTGTTAAATGTCACCATTCTATAGTATCTTAAAAAATGTTTCCTCTTTAGTTTTCCAAATATGAAACGATGTCATAAGAATGCACATGTTTTTTCAAACTGTATGCCCCAGGCCCCAGTGGGTCCAAATGTACTTCCTCAGGTACCTTTCACTTAAACTGGATTTATAGCACTTGGGAAACCAGTAGATCTGCTGCAGGACCTGAATTCTGGCCTGGCCACAATGGGCTAAAGCTTGTTCTTGTTTTGAAGTGGTTTGGTCTCTCTTGATGCCTCTGAGGTGGCCCTCTTCAAGGTCTTAACAAAAGGTGTCAGCTACTTGTTTGGTGTCTATGGGCTTCTGAGTGTGTGTGCTTTGCCTTAGCGAGGATGCTTCCTTCCCATAGCCTGTGGGAAGAAGTGGGGTTTCAATTTGTTTCTTTAAAAAAGTATGTATGTGTGCATTTGTCTATGTCTGTCTGTATCAATTTATGCGCATAGGAAATCAAGTGCTGATGAGAAGTAAGAAAATGTTAATAGTAATTATCTCGGGGTGAGATTATGAAGGATTTTAGATTTTTCTGTATTATCTAGTTTTCCTACAGTAAACTTGTACGCTACTGATATGGTTTGGATTTGTGTCTCCACCCAAATCTCATGTCAAATTATAATCCCCAGTGTTGGAGGAGGGGCCTGGTGGGAGGTGATTGGATCATAGGGGTGGACCTCTCCCTTGCTGTTCTCTTTTTTTTTTTTTTTTTTTTTTTTAACCTTCACCTCCCGGGTTCAATGATTCTCCTACCTCAGCCTTCTAAGTGGGATTACAGGTGCCTATCACCACACCTGGCTAATTTTTTTTTTTTTTTTTTTTTTTTTTCGATCTTGGTGAATCTAACGATTTTTTTTTTTTTAAAGAGAAAAAGAAGGGGAAAAAAAGAAAAAGGGGGAAAAAGGAATATTACTTCATTCCTAATATGGGTTTCAATAATGGCCGATCAATATTTTGAGTGTTTAAAGTGGTTAATGCATATTTTATGTGTTTAAAATGGAGACCTCTATTGTGTTTATTTGTTCTGGCTCTGAGTTCAAATCCTGGATATCGTTATCAATTTGTTGTCTCGTTGAATCTAAATCTATGTGTCTTATGTATCTGGGTGTTAAGATCTCTTATTGTTACATTAATCCTTTTACCCTTGTATCCTTATAGCTTTGAAATCTATTTTGTCAAATGTGAAAATTGCAACTCCTGCTTTTTATTTATTTATTTTTGCTCTCCATTTGGTTGGTACGTTTTTTTTTTTTTTTTTTTTTTTTTTTTTTTTCCCCAACCCTTTATTTTGAGTCTATGTATATCTTTGGATATACCGTTGGATTTTGTCTGTATCTTTTGATTGGGAGATTTGGTTGATTTAACTTTAGGGTTGCTGCCATTTGATATTAACTGGCTATTTTGTCCTTTTGTTGATAAAAATTCTTCTTTATGTTAACGCTCTTTACTTTTTGGTGTATTTTTAGAAAGGATCATACTGGTTGTTCCTTTCTGTGTATAATGCTTCTTTTAGAAGTTCTTGTAAAGCAGGCCTGGTGGTAATAAAATCTCTGAGTACTTGCTTGTTCCTAAAAGATTTTATTTTTCCTTCAAATATAAAGCTTAAATTGGCAGGATATGAAATTCTGGGCTGAAAGTTTTGTTCTTTAAGTATATTGAATATTGGCCCCCACTCTCTTCTAGCTTGTAGGGTTTCCGTTGAGAGATCTGCTGTAAGCCTAATAGGCTTACCTTTATGGGTAACTTGATCTTTCTCTCTGGCTGCCCTTAATATTTTCTCCTTCGTTTCGATCTTGGTGAATCTAACGATTATGTGCCTTGGGGTTGGTCTTCTTGAGGAATATCTTTGTGGTGTTCTCTGTATTGCCTGGGGTTGAATAGTGTCCTGCTTTGCTAAATTAGGAAAATTTTCCTGGATAATGTCCTGGAGAGTATTTTCCAGCTTGACTTCATTCTCTCCGTCACATTCAGGTACACCAATCAAGCGTATATTAGGTCTTTTCACATAGTCCCATATTTCTTGGAGACTTTGCTCATTCCTTTTTATCCTTTTTTCTCTATTCTTGTCTTGTCGTTTTGTTTCGTTAAGTTGGTCTTCGACCTCTAATACCCTTTCTTCTGCTTGATCCATTCGGCTGTTTAAGCTTGTACATATTTCACTCAGTTCTCGTGTTGTATTTTTCAACTCCATAAGTTCATTTGTATTCCTCTCTATATTGTCTATTCTTTTCAACATTTCATCGAACCTTTTTTCCAAGTTCTTAGTTTCTTTACATTGGGTTAGAACAAGTTCCTTTAACTCCCAGAAGTTTCTTATCATCCACCTTTTAAAGCCTACTTCAGATAATGGAACACAGTCCTTTTCCATCAGGGCTTATTCCGTTGCTGATGAGTCCTTTTCCATCAGGGCTTGTTCCGTTGCTGATGAGTCCTTTTCCATCAGGGCTTGTTCCGTTGCTGATGGGTTCTGATTTTGAGTAGACTCGGCCTTCTTAGGCTGTTTTTTTCCCTTCATTGTAGATGACCCGCCTTTCTAATTAGTTTTCTGAGTCGACGTCCGACTTATTGATTCCCAGTGCTGGGATCCGAGCCACCCACTGTGGCAGCCTAAATAGCAGCAGTAAGACTGATGGTGCTCTTCTGCCCGGGAATCTCTGGTCTGGCTTCCCTCTTGAGTCCGCAACAAGCGGCTCTGACTTCCTGGAGCTCCAAACTCTGGTCAGTAGGGGAAGCGGTCCCGTTGGCTCTGCGTGAAGAGCTGCTGCGCCGAGACGCCGGCAAAACCACTGCAGCGGCCACAAGAGTCGCGCTGGCGACCCGTGGGGCTCCTCCGCTGGGAGTCGGCTAATCGGTGAGTGACGAAAATTCGTCTAATGATGTGGCGTCGTCTCGTTCTCTGAGCTTTCACTGGGAGCTACAATCCTGAGCTGTTAGTGGTCGGCCATCTTGGATCTGTTCTCTTGATAATAAGTTCTCATGAGATCTGGTGAAAAGTGTGTAGCACCTCCCCCTTCGCAATCTTCTTTCCTCTCTGGCCAGGTAAGCTGTGCCTGCTTCCCCTTCACCTTCTGCCATGATTGTAAGTTTCCTAAGGCTTCCCAAGCTATTGCTTCCTATACATCCTGGGGAACTATAAGCCAATGAAACCTCTTTACAGATTACCCAGTCTAAAGTAGTTCTTTATAGCAATGCAAGAATAGACTAATAGAGCTATAAATTTTTATCAGAAAAAAATGTTTAAAAATCGAGTTTTCAATTAATATTTACTAATGGGAAAATATCTATAACATTAAATGAACAAAAGGATTCAAAACTGAACACATGGTTTGATTCTACTTTTGTGGAAAATGTGTATGTAGGATGCATAGGAAGAATATAGAAATACATTAAAATGTGAGAGTGGTTATCTCTGGGTAGAAATTTGCTTCTTATACTTTTCTGGTTTTCCCTT